CATTCATTTGCAATGGACCTGGTAGTGGAGAAACGGTCCCTTAAGGCCAATAATCTTAGGCGGCGATCTTCACGGTCTGTTGTTCAACGGCGGCGTCCAGTGCCCCTTGCCCTCTGCGTACGGCCTTCTCGAAGCCATGCCTGACAACACCTAACCACAGTGTCTACACTTCTTTGCACTCTAACTGCAATTGCCCGAAAAGAAAGTCCAGCTTCCCGATGTCCCACTATACGGCCCCTATCAAACTCACTAAGTTGACGAAATCGTACAGGTCTCCGTACTCTAGGCATCGTAACCGATCGTAAAGGATGTCATGAACCAAAATCCGCCAACCTTGATTCTTTACTGCGGCTGAAATATTCATTTTTAGAGCGTTTGTGAGTTAAAAAAAAGCAGTATAAAAACCGGAATGTCCAACTGGTGAGGCTGAAAATTTTTTCACTTGTTATTTACAGCAAGATAAATACATTCACCAACTTTTATTAAAATTAAACCGTTTAAACTGGGTGTTCGGATTTATATGTCACTTAGTATAGAAGAGTTCGTGCGCGCATGGCTGTCCGAGTTGCCCAAGGAATTCTTCGATACTAGTATCCAAAAGCAAAATGCGTAACTAGTGAGGGAACGTACCTAGAAATACTAAATTTTTTCGATTGTAAATAAACATGTCAGAGCATTTGTCTCGATCATATTTCAACAACTCCCGTATAACGTATTATACATTTTTAGATCTATTCATCTGTGCAAAAATTAAACATGGTGTCCATAAGAAAAAATAAAGTTGATGCTGGAGGGCAAGAGACGAAACGTCATTATGAAATTCTAATTATGTCATCTTGAAGAGGAAAAAAAGTGGCAATGTTAAAGTACTTTGAATTTCTAAGCTTTCTAAGTGGCATCTCGTTGATTACCTAAATATGCAATTGTCCCTTATTTAAGCGGCCCCGTATCTCTTACAGCTTCCGAGATCCCAATGATGAGGGCCGCATTTTAAACACCCTGCATATATTTATATATATATATATATGGGCAGTAGTCATTGCCAAAGCCAACGAGAAGTTGGCCACCAAATACAATTAATTGTTAATTGGGAAATTGGCAAATTTTTAGGCTTAAGTTGACTCTTTTGACGATAATATCAAGCTTTCGGCATTCTCTATGGAGCCATCATCAGGACTCTGAAAAGACAATTGTGATACTAGCAAAGAAAACAGGACAGATTTAAATTGTCAAACAACTTAACTCGTCGATGAGGTTTCAGCCACAAGGTGTTTCAAAACGAACGTAGAGAAGATAGAACTTGTAATCAGTATAAAAACAAAAGGACGGGGACATTGGGCTTGTTGAAAAACGACATGTTAAAAATATCAATCCACCCGAACAAATTGAAAAGTGAGAAGTGAGAAGACATTTTAGTGAATCAATCGGAATGCAGTCTCTAACCTCCTACTTTCGCTAGACGTAGAGAGGGGGGCAGCACGGAAGGATAAAGCGTCGACAGATGACAAGTGATTGACACGACGGACCGTGGAACTGTAAACCTCCTTGTCAAAATTTGGGTATGAAGTATACGAGGGACGCTCGGTAAACCTCCACCCAAAATTACTAAAATGCTGAATTAATTTGTTTTGGAAAAGTGTGTGTAGTTCATACGAGTGTATGAATGTGTGATACTGATACAACCTTGAAAATATCTGTTATGCGAGTTTATATTAAACATTGTGCGTGAGAAAATGTATTCTAATTTTGTGACGATGTTGGTTCGATTTGGATATGTAGCCGTTATAACTTTTCGCAATTCAACAGGTAGGAATAAATGACACTGAGCTGTTTAACATCAGCCTTTTTATTCATGCAATGATCTGCCATAAAAATGTGGGACATTTCTAAAAATAAACGTTTTGAGAGTGTTTTTTCTTTATCAAGAACCTCAATATTGCCATAATTCATAGAGTGACCTGTGTTGTTAATATGAGATGCCAAAGCACATCTCTCTGGATATAATCTGGCGTCACTTTTGTGTGAAGTTGTCCTGCCTTTCAGTGACCTAGAAGTTTGGCCTATATAAACTAAAATACAGTTGTTTCAATTAATGCGATAGGGAGTGTTAGTTGAATCAAGCAACTGAACCTTATCCTTCATTTTGGACAACAAACTGTTGACAAGCAAAACGACAACTAAAAGAATTATACAGCCTGATCAATTTTGGTGTTAGTTCTTTGATGTATGGCAAGACATAATTAACTCTGGAAATAGGAGCAACCACTGTAGAGCTGTTATTCTCATTGGTTGAAGAATTCATGGGTGTCTGGTGGGGCTGAACAGTGTTGTCATTTTCACTATTGTTATTCGTCATTGGCAAAATATTCGGAGGAGAGCTGAACAAGATTCTGTTAACCAAATACTTAGGATAGCCATTGTTGATAAATAAGACTGAAAGCTTCCTTAAATTGGAAATATGGAAAGTACTGTCAGAGATTCTTGTAACCCTGTTCTTCATTTGTTTCACCAGGTTTATTTTTATTTTAAGTTCGTGGTAAGACCTGAAGTTCAGGAACCTTCCGGAAGAAATTGGTTTCCCGTACCAGTCTACCAGTAATATATTGTCATTGGTACGAATCAATCTTGAATCCAAAAAGGGAACAGATTGATTGTCATCTTCTTTTTCGATAATTCTTAACAGTCATGATCCCTACATCCAGTTCACCATATTCACCAGGTAGCGTCCTATCTTAGCTATGAAGTGTCATAAATAATGAATAATAAAAGGGTAAATATATGGAATATCATGTACTTTCTTTGAAAGTACGCATACAATTACGTGGAATGAATTTTGTTGCGCCAAATGACGTCATTTGGACGCAATTATTGTATTGCTGAATATAAGTCAAAAAATGTGTAGAATCTGACCCATTTCTGGAAACCAATGAATGTAGTTGCTCTGGTGGTGGTACCAATGGAGTCAATTTGATATTTCCACTGACGCAACATAATCCAGGGGCTTCATTTTTAATCTTGAAAGCCTTGCAATGTGAACTCACAACGTTCATTGGTCCAGAAGCAACGATTTGTTGTAAACTGTAATCGATTGTCCCATCATAATTGAATGCAGCTCGATTGGGATTAAGTGCGACACTTCTACGTTGTTGAATTTCAGTCCTTCGGTCCGTTCAACTTCATTTCTCGCTTCTCGTTGCTTGTCAGTTTGACTTCTTTGTGTATATCTTTGATTTGCAGCACTGCGAGTTCTGCAACCTAGGTTGGTACGTCTAATTGGTGACATTCTCAAGAATCATAATTATAATACAAGGCGTGATTGCGGTGAACTAACTTCTACACTTGTTAATTATTTTTGAACAAATACTTCTGAAAAAACACTTAACAAACTGAAAACTGGATAAAAGCTCAAGTAGTATGGACTGTGCACTACTAATTAATTAAAACAATATTTTTTCATCGATAAACACTGTTAAATGATAATATAAATTTGCGGCGTGTGAGATGTAAAGCTGAAGATAAGTAATAAGCAGTGAAAGCCAATCAAGCAAAAGAAACGTATTTTTATCCGCCATTTTTATTCATAGAGTTAGTTAACACAAAGATAACAATTAGGCAACACTACAGTTTCTTTTGTAGGGCCATTACAAGGTACGGATGGTAACGAAATTTAAGTCCAAAAACGGAAGCACCGTGTTTTCATAAGCAATTTTCTCTCACATAGCTAACTGTCAATAGTTGTTGGAATAAAGATGGCGGAGACGAGTGCTTGTCTCTTTTGGTACTTGAGATATTTCTTCTGCTGGGCGTGCTTCGTGCTCAAGCAAACTGTCAAAACGCGCGTAGCTTAAATAAACGTTAGGTTTCTAATGATATCCCAATTGTCTGCGCAATTTTCTTGATTTTTCTTTCCATGAGAATCTTCTATGCAGCATTAGGAAACTTAAAAAAAATATGAATGAAATGGGTAATGAACGTTTTTTGTTTTGAGAAATCGACTTCTTTCGTAACAGTGCATATGTGGTTTAAATTTGTCGGATAAGTTGTGAAACACCCTGTAATTAGATATTTTAGTTCGATTTATCAATTAACGTTTGTGGACATATGGTATTGTAATATCATCTCGTAATCTAATCACTTCATGTAAAGCTTCACTGTTGCATGGGCTTTTTCCAGTTATCTTAGAGCAATTAAGTTCTTCAATCCGAACACCGTCTAAGTGCTACATAAGCTTGTCCAGCAGCAAACAGTCGCGAGCCTAGATAAATGACTGCATGATCTACTGTACAACCTTGCATCTTGAGGACGGTCGAAGCCCAACTCAGGATTAATGACAACATTCGCAATGAACTAGGTGATAATTCCCTACCTTGAAAAGGTATTGGCCCCCGTTGTGCTGTGCCTAGTGCCCAAACCAACAAAGAATAAGCCCGAAACTGCAGGCATGCGCAGATCGCGCGTTATCTCTATCTCTCGTACTCCCTTACAGAGGATCTATAAAGGAATTTATCAATCCTGGCGGTACTTAGAAGGATAATGGAAAACGGTTATCAAATTATTGGATTGTCATCGGTCCTTCATATGTGTGCGAAATTTCAAATTAATCAGACTTCTGGAAATTGATGAAAATTATGCTCAGTGATTCCGCTACATACATACATACACACACGCAAGCCAAGCTTCTAAAGGCGTGTTGAAAGTGGGTGGTTGCCGAGTATTCGGGGTATTCGAATATTTAACAAAAAAAAAATGCTTAGCATATAGTTTTTGTTAATGATATGTTGAAAAAGCACATTTGTTCCCCGAATAAAGTATGGTCACAGTACAAGGTGTTTTTATAATTTTCAAAACACAGCCCCTGAGCACCTCGATGAATCCTAACAAATAATAACGAAACGACATGTTATGTTGTTGCTAGGGAAGAAAGCTATAACTTTGGATATGTAAATGAAATGATGATTGACATGTGAAAGAAACTTACGAGAATTATCATTTATTTCCAGGGATAACGGCACCTCAAGTACGACGTCTGTCTGTCGAGAAAGAAGAAACAGCAGGGCCCGTTTCCTGGCAGGTGGAGCTTCTGGAGACTCTTTCGCAAGTAGCTCAGCAAATTGCTGGCGGACGAAGATACTCCGTCGATAGCAACTCCAAGCTGCCCTCGTCTCTCTTCGGTAGGAATCGTCAAGAGCCGGTGGCAGCGTTCCCGTCATCACGATTCTCTGGTAGAGTTCTACCTTGCAGGTATTCCTACTGAAATACTAACATACTACAACAAAACCAAAAGGGCACGTTCATTTTTTAGGCCCAATTTTATTATTCTAAAATCTTTATATGAATCATAATGTATCAGTAACGAGGCGCCTTTGTAGTAATGCATCAAAGGAATATAGTCGATTTCTTCTAAGATATCTATCAAACTAGCAAAGAACCTACGAGTTATATGTATATTAAATAAATAAAGTCTTTTTAAAAATGACCTGGTTTAGCTACAAAGAATTATTTTTCCACTTGATCCGGAGATCAAAGCCTATGATCCGGATCAACAATGACCAATTGAAGACCTGGGTGCAAAAACCAGGTTAATATTTTGTTTAAAAAATAAGGAAAAGAAAACCATTTTGTTTTACGGTACAGAGAAAGTAATAAAAAACCGGCTTAATATGGAATAACGTAAAAACATGAACCCTAAGTTCAAATCAAAATCTTTTTTGTTAAAAATTTAGACTTACCTAGTTTTTGCCCCGAACATTATATTGAAATAACGGAAAAATTAGTTCAAACAGTTCTAATAGTCAAAGAGAACAAAACCAATACAAACTAAAAAGGGGTAAAACAAAAGTAAATCTTCGATTACATAAACGGTGTATCGGAGTCACAAGCATGAGCACCTGAACCAAATACCTTTTATGGAGCTTCAATATCTTTCGATTCTCCGAAGATCTTTCGATAGTAGCACCGATCGGCGGCTGATAAAAGCTTGACATCAGCAGTCTTTTTTTCATTAAACTGCAAAGGTTAGAGTTGTATCATATGTGAGCTTGGGTGGCACAATTCCACATTTTTTTATTGAAAAAGATATATATATATGTATATAACTTGAGACGTGGTCATTGTCGTCTAGACCAGTTAGGTGAAAAATTAAAGCTTCCGCCTTTTGTTGGGTACTTCGACAAAATTTAAGCAAAGAGGACTCTTTATACTTTTTTTAATTCTCTCTAGCTTTCAATGGACTTTGCCATCATCATCAGGAGCTGCAATTACAATGATAACAGTAGCAACAAAAGTGTAAAATGAATTTAAATTGACTCAACTTACAGTAGTATGTGAGGATGTTGCTAATTGTTGTTTACGTATAGGATGAGGGAAACGTCCAGTAACATGGTGAGAGCTGGATAGATTGTACAATGGTCAAAATTATATAAAATATGACAAGAACAAGTTAAAAACAGATTAAAAATTATTTAAAAAACATTAGAGCATTACATCGTGAAGCCACTTGATGATTGCACAAATTAGTGGTCATGGAATAATGAGTGAGATGAAACCCTTTGACAGAAAGCCGAAGGATGTCAATGTCTGTGTTGAAAGATGGAACGAATTGTGGGCGTGTGCCAAACGTTGCCAAATCACTTCAGATGATGTGATTTTCTGAATTTTATGTAAGAATTTGTTAAACCGACCAGAGGCAGCATTTTAATTAATGGGAATTTAAATTAACAATTATTAATAAATCGTGAGAAGAGAATTATTATATTTTGAGTGGAATGAAATTTACTGGTGGAATCGGCCAAAACACAGATTCTAATTATGGTTGTGAAGAGTCGAAATTTGGGGAGATATGTAAGTTCTCCAATTTTTCGCAGTTTAGCAAATATGAGTAAATGACACTCAGTTGTTTAACATCTGTCTTTTTGTTGATACAGTTGTTATTCATGAAGATGTGGGACATTTCCAGGAATAAACGTTTGGAAAGGTGTTTTTCTTTATCAAGAACTTTGATACTTGTGTAATTCATAGGATGCCCTGTTGTGTTAACATGAGATGCTAGAGCGCATCTTTCAGGATGAAGCCTAGCATCACTTTTGTGTGATGTAATCCTTCCTTTAAGAGATCTGGAGGTCTGACCTATGTATATTTGGTTGCAGTTGTTGCAATTGATGGAGTAGACTGTGTTGGTTAAGCCAAGCAGCGGGACTTTGTCTTTCATTTTTGAAAAAATTCAGTTTATAGTGAGGACGGATTTGCAAGCAATTCGAAAGTTCAAAGGACTGCACAATCTGATCAGCTTAGGGGTCAGTTCCTTGATATAGGGCAGGACAGCAAAACTAGGTCTGGAGTCCGGGTTGGTGCTTGTACTGTTAGGATTGATGTTATTATTGGGAATTACATCAGTTCCGTTATTGGGGGTTGTGTGACTATTACCTGCATCACCAGAGTTCGGCAAAATATTGGAAGGTGAACTAAATAAGATCTTGTTAATCAGACACTTCGGATAACCATTATTGATGAACAGTTTTGATAGTTTACGTAAATTTGAGGTGTGGAAGGTACTATCTGAGATGCTGATTACCCTTGTTTTCATCTGTTTTACCAAATTGATTTTAATCCCTAGCTTATGGTATGTCCTAAAATTGAGAAACCGACCTGAGGCCATAGGTTTCTGGTACCAGTCTACCAATAAACTGTTGTTGTTGGTGCGAATGAGTCTTGTGTCTAGAAAGGGGACAGACAGGTTCTCATCTTCTTTTTCAATGGTGAATTGGATGTAGGGGTCATAGCTGTTGAATTCTCTGTAATCATTATCTGCATGTGCTGATTTTAGTGTTGTCGATATTAATGAGGACAAAGCCTGGGTTGCTGAACCTATTGATGCAACTATAGGTCTTACTGTAATGACCACGTCTCAAGTTACATCCACAGATTTGGGGTTTTTCAATAACATCACGGAACGTCATGGGAACCAGGCAGTAAGAATGATGAAGGACTGGATCAAGGGCAGAAAACGACTGGCACAGGAGATCAATCGACTGATTTTCTTATTAAAATGTAGAAAACATGGCATTACACCACATCACATCACCCACCGCTTAACATCAATGACACACTTACTAGAAAGCCATTCAATAGAAGATGGGATGAAAAATCGTCTGCACAGGTTAGGTGACAAAATACTCACGCCTGAGATATCTTCCTGCCACAGACAGTTGAAAAAACTTCATTCCATACTCAATTCACTCCAAAGTGACATGATTTCTTCCACTTCTCCACTAATTTTTGATAATTTCAAATATAGACAACTCAGACATTACAATAAAATCTTTCATAACATAAAAAACTCTAACACTCGTAAGTTTGACAGATTGTTGAATGACACCAGAAAAACCTTCCTCAACACTCAACAAAATTGGATAAAAAATCTCAGTAACGTTGACATCCCTCATGACATATTAAAATTTCTTTCCTTAGGGCCTAAGTTCAGTGTAGAGCCGATTGTTAACAATGACATTCCAATTAGATCAATCCTAGCGGATGTGGACACAATAGCATCCTCCATAAGTGATGACACTGAAAGAAACATTTTCACAACTCGTTCCACTAACCTCATCACTAACTATTATCATAATAACAATCTTAATAAAAAACATTCCTTTTATCACAACCTTTTAAACAAAACTAGAACATTTCTAAAACAACATTCTGAACTTATGGTTACAAGATCTGACAAAGGCAATGTTACAGTGATAATGCTTAAACAACACTATTTAGATCTTTGCAACAATCTCATCAATGATGACCCATCATATCATGAAATTAATAGAGATCCCACACTTAAAGTGGAAAAGAAAAGTAATGACATTGTTAAGGAACTTCTCAGCACTGGACAAATAACCCAAGAACAAAAAAGAACTTTGACTACTTATAACTCTGTCCCTCCCAAATTTTATGCACTTCCGAAAATTCACAAACCTGTACTCTCAGTAAGACCTATAGTTGCATCAATAGGTTCAGCCACCCAGGCTTTGTCTTCATTAATATCGACAACACTAAAATCAGCACATGCAGATAATGATTGCTACATCAAAGACTCATTTGAAGTCTCTCGTCAGTTCAACAGATTGACAATACCAGCCGATCATATTATCGCCAGTCTTGATGTGGTGTCGCTATTCAGCAACATCTATCTGGATGCATTTACAAGAACTATTAATAAACACTGGAATGAGATAAGTCAACACTGCAACATATCTCTAGAATCTTTCACCAACATTATAACATTCCTTTTTCATAACAATTATTTCTCTTTCAACAACAAAATATATTCTCAAACACATGGTTGTCCTATGGGATCTGTTCTGTCACCAATTTTGGCAGAATATGTCATGGATGATCTGCTTGATACTGTTATTCCGACACTACCCTATAACCTCTTCTTCACAAGAATACGTAGATGACATTATTATATGCCTCCCTTCCATAGGTCTGAATGGTATTGTCAGAGAATTCAACAGCTATGACCCCCACATCCAATTCACCATTGAAAAAGAAGATGCGAACCTGTCTGTCCCCTTTCTAGACACAAGACTCATTCGCACCAACAACAACAGTTTATTGGTAGACTGGTACCAGAAACCTATGGCCTCAGGTCGGTTTCTCAATTTTAGGTCATACCATAAGCTAGGGATTAAAATCAATTTGGTAAAACAGATGAAAACAAGGGTAATCAGCATCTCAGATAGTACCTTCCACACCTCAAATTTACGAAAATTATCAAAACTGTTCATCAATAATGGTTATCCGAAGTGTCTGATTAACAAGATCTTATTTAGTTCACCTTCCAATATTTTGCCGAACTCTGGTGATACAGGTAATAGTCACACAACCCCCAATAACGGAACTGATGTAATTCCCAATAATAACATCAATCCTAACAGTACAAGCACCAACCCGGACTCCAGACCTGGTTTTGCTGTCCCGCCCTATATCAAGGAACTGACCCCTAAGCTGATCAGATTGTGCAGTCCTTTGAACTTTCGAATTGCTTGCAAATCCGTTCTCACTATAAACTGCACTTTTTCAAAAATGAAAGACAAAGTCCCGCTGCTTGGCTTAACCAACACAGTCTACTCCATCAATTGCAACAACTGCAACCAAATATAGATAGGTCAGACCTCCAGATCTCTTCAAGGAAGGATTACATCACACAAAAGTGATGCTAGGCTTCATCCTGAAAGATGCGCTCTAGCATCTCATGTTAACACAACAGGGCATTCTATGAATTACACAAGTATCAAAGTTCTTGATAAAGAAAATCACCTTTCCAAACGTTTATTCCTGGAAATATCCCACATCTTCATGAATAACAACTGTATCAACAAAAAGACAGATGTTAAACAACTGAGTGTCATTTACTCATATTTGCTAAACTGCGAAAAATTGGAGAACTTGCATACCTCCCCAAATTTCGACTCTTCA